TTTTAGTGTAGGCGCCAAGGTCAGAACTTCTGGAGCAGGCTCTGTGGGCTGCAGAATTATTCTATAGCTTACAAGCTGTGGGGCCCCAGTTTTATTCTCTGTAAAAAAGGGATGTCAATGTATAATGTATTAATATATAACATGTTAATATTAACGTATAACTATAATGTATAATGTTAATATATAATATATTAATATGGCAGTATATAATATAGATGTACAATATGTAATATTATATGTATTATATATAATAATGTAGGATAAGATTGTATAAAGGGTTGGGTAAGGAGTTTTGCATTGTGTTTGACACAGTGGAAAGAATAACTGTGTTATTATTAGTAGTAGTAGTACTATTTTGTTGCTATCCTTATGCAAGTATCCATGGGTGTTTGGACTAAAGGATCTTTGGGGCACAAGATTTTGAGGTACTGATGAATAAGTAGAAAAGATGAGCTGGAAATTTACACACTCCATTTGCGACCCCTGAATGATACATGGTTGATGGAGGGTCCTGCTGCTTGACAGCCTGGAGCTAGGATGTGGGTGTGGAGGGGTCCTTTGTCCCTTTCCAGTGATTTTGGTGGTGCCCTTGGAAGGGAGGGAAGTGGGGAGAGGGTATAAGAAGGCCCAGGTCTCCTTGGAACTAATTTGATTGGGATGAAGCAGCAAAGGTGAGTTGGTTCTGGTAGAAGAGGAGATAACGTTTTCTTCCCGGTAGAAATTCTGGCAGCTTTGGGTCCTTCGATCTTTAAGCCCTTCACCCCACGACTCCATTCATCCATCCATTCTCGCGTCTGATGATGAATCTCTACTGCTTATCACTGACCCTTCCTTGTCTTTACTCCTTTCTTGCTTTCTGGTGCTCAGCAGATAGGCTTTGAGCATCCGCTGAGCCCCAGATCTTGTTCTAGGGGCAGAGGTGAGAGAAAACAGACACGGCCCCTGTCCTCATGGGGAGAAAGATACAGATCAAATCACCACGCACATTAATATGTCCAATAGCTGACAGTGGTTAGTGCTGGGATGAAAAAAAACTCCTCATGCTTTATCATGTGCAGAGGAGGAGGTGGGTGGGAGGCCATGCTGGAGGAAGCCATGGGAAACTGGAGAAGAGGATGGAGAGCTGTGACCAGGCAAAGCTATGGGGGAGGTGTTCTGGGCAGAGGGAAGAGCAGATAAAAAGGCTCATCAGTAGGAGGGTGGCTATACTTCCTAATTCATACCTGCTAGGTGGTTTTATCTAAATTTTATTTACCCAGGGACTAAGCATGTGTGCATAGGAACTTAATATATGATGAAGGTGGCACCACAAATCAGAGGGACAGGAAGGATTATCGAAGGGTTGGTATTGGGACACTGGTTCACATTTGGAGAAAAATAAAACTGGGTCCCTGGCCACCATGACATACCAAGGTGAAATCCAGGTGGACAAATGACCTCCTGTAAAGATTGGGGGGAGGTGTTTGCACTGCCTATAACTGAGCAGGAGCTAAGATGGAGGACATACCAAGAAGACATGCAAATCAGCAAGAAAAAGACAGGACCCTAGTGGAAAAGTGAGCAAAGTTTGTAAATAAGAGAGAAACCCAACAAGCTAGCAGGCAGACGAAAAGATGCTGTGTGATTTTCTTCCTTCTTTCCCTTCAGGGGACTCTTTTACCATCTTATCTCCACTTTTCTCTTCCTGGGCTAAGATTCTTCAGCACCTTAACTTAAGCCTCCTTTTGTTTGAAGACAGGTTGAAGAGAGAGCCAAGAGGCAGGAAGGGCTTGGACCACCCCACCTCTGGCATCTCCTTATTTGTACTGAACACCTCGAGACCGCCAGGGACTAGCAATGATCTTGTCTGGCCACCAGGTGGCGATCTAGACACCCCAGCTCAGAAACCTTCAAGGAGAGTCTCTGGAAAGGCATGGTTTCTTTAGAATAATAAAAACCAGACAACTTTTAGGATTGCCAGCCAGAAGGAGCAAAACGTTTCCCCTAAACGTGTAAGGTCTAGGAGGCTGAAATGCCACATTTTTTGTAGTTCCTGAGTAACAATCTAGGGCTTCCTGATGAAGAATTTCTTGTGCTGTTCTGGGGAAGCCCAGAGGACACTGGATATCGTTAACAGGCACAGGACGATGGGGACTAGACTTCTAGGCCCCTCGAACAGTTAGCATCAGCATGAGTAGTTCCAGAGGAGCAAAACTGGGGCTAAGGGAGTGGAAGAGGAGGCTCCCGTGCTTATTAAACCCTTTGTGTGGCTGGGCACGCCTCCTACCAGCTCTGGTCTATTTCTGGAACCTCGGCATTGCCATGAGACCTGAGCAGGCTGGGGTTCCACAAAGCACAGGTCAGGTCATGTCTTTAAGGTAGGAGGCTGCATTCACTCGCCTTTGGGTTTGGGAGTCAGTCAGCAGATGAGGCAGAGTTCAGGGGTTGCACCTGCCTGCATCCGCTGTCCTCTCCAGGTGTCTTTGTGAGGGTGTGTTCTCTGCCTCAGGATTTATGCTCCACCCATGCGACCTGGCAGCTGGATGGGGTGCTGAGGGAGCAGGAGTCACCCCCCCATCAATGAGGGATGGGAGGCGGCGGATAAACTCCTCAGCCTCTTCACCTTGGTGGGGGGCAATTCTGTGGGGTGTCCAACAGTCCCTCAGGGCCCCACTTGCCCACAGGAGCAGCCAATTCATCTATATACCCTTTGTTGGCTCTCCTCCCTTAGCTGTCTTTCCTCCCCTGGCTTCCCAGGATCACGTCCCAAAGAAACTCCTTGCGCCAATGAAAAGTAATAAAGGGAAAGTTCACCAAAATGGAATCGGGAGTCCAGAAGGGGGAGCCGTATCACTCAATATCAATTACAGGAAGAAATGTCAATAACAAATCCCAGCAGAGTTGTCAACAGGAAAGAATCAATAATTTCTAGCACCAGCTGGAAAAGATGTACATCCTTTAAGAAATCCACTACCCCTGCAAATCAGCCAAGGAGTAGTGAAAATCACCCCGAACTCCTGCTTTTCTCCCGAGGACTTTCCTTCAGAACAACTCTTCCCAACTTCCTCCTCCTCCATTCCACTGCTTTGTGGGATTTGCCTGTGGTTTTGCCATATCTTGCAAAGTCCTGAATTGCAATTCTGTGTCATCCTGAATAAACCCATTTTGTCGGCCCTCTTATTTCTTGTGTTAACACACTCAAATCCTTGTCTTATGTTTCTCTTTTAGGGAATTCATACAAAAAGAACAGGGAAAATAGGACCATTTGATGAACTGCTCAGATATTTTCAGAGCACAAATAACCAGAGAGAAAAGGCTAGAAGATAGATGGAGAAAGGGACCCTGTAAACTCTCCTAACACCTTGAGCTGCTCCTAACTCAGTTTTGCAGGCAATAGTTCTAAGAATCCCTTGTTCAAAAGAAACACAGTTACTTTGGGCTCCAGAGCTATTTTGAAACTACACTTTGGGATCCAAATTATTTCCAAGGCAATCACAGTGAATGGGAAGCCCAGGTGTGAATTTTTCAGTTTCCCCCAGTTCTATCCTGCAGATAGGGAGCCTACCTCGCCTCAGATCCCCAAGGTCCCAGCCTGCATTATAAATTATTAACTGGGTGTTATTCTTTCTTCTGAGCTCATAATGGCTTCTGACATTTTAATGCCTGCATTTTGAATGCACACAAAGTAAAGAGCAGAAACCGGAGGGGCAAGCTTCCCTCGTTTGCATTTCAGACCCTCCAGATGTATTCTTTTGTGAAATTCAGCATCCAGCTTGGGCAAGCGTCTTAGCAAACAGCTCTGGAAGAGGTTAATGATGGGTTTGTAAAGGTTGTTCTGGCTTTATTTTGGTCCCTGGAAATGCAAGTGTCAGCACAAAGTATGTTTATGGTTTCATTAAATTGCTAGGAAAAAAATATCAAGAGAGTTGTAAAAAAAGAAAAACAAGTTTGAGTGACTCAGCTTTGAATAAATTAAGAACCAATTTGATGCAAAATGTGGACCATGCCAAGAGCCACTCCATTCTCCAGCGGGATGTTGACAGTGTATGGACCCCTTTCATTCTCTCTCCCACTCTTTTTTGGAGAGGGAGATGCTGGTTTCTAAATGTCTAGTGATTCTGCCATCCTCATTTCTAAAGTCCCCAGTAAAGGTGAAATTGTTAAATATCCTTCCCATGGAACTTGATACACAGGTTTTAGGTAGAATATATTTCCTTAGAGAGGAGATGCACTATGTAAAAAAACCTTTTTTTTTTTTAAGTGAGTTCAGAGTTTGCGTACAGTAATTTGTACACATCTTTTTATATTCTATAGGCTTTATTGGAGTCTCATTAGAATGTAATTGATAAAGACACAAAAGAGTACAATCAGTACAATTCCATTCATATTCCAGTTGAAAAGCTGGCAATGACCCCTATTTGTTGTGAGAAATCAGGCTCATGCTTATTCTTATGTATATGAGTAGTAGCAGGGAGGGGATGTGAGGAGGGTTTTGGGATACTGGTGATGTTTTGTGTCTTGACGGTTTATGTGGATGTGGTCAGTTTGTGAAAATTCACTGAACTGTGTGCTCCTGACCTATGCACTTTTCTGTATCCATAGCACACTGGAATAAAAAAAAAAAACCCTCAGTGTATTGATATTGTCAGATAGATTTAAAGAACTGGTTCCTTGCCCCCCCCCCCCCCTTGCTAAATCTACTAGTGCCAGGGGCAACTGGGTGGCTCAGTCGTTTGGCATCTGCCTTTGGCTCAGGTCATGATCCCAGGCTCCTGGGATCAAGCCCCGAATCAGGTTCTGTGCTCAGCGGGAAGCCTGCTTCTCCCTCTCCCTCTGCCCCATTTGTGTTCCCTCTGTCTATCAAATAAATAAAAAAAATCTTGAAAAAAAATCTACTAGTCCCAGGTCTGCTGCTCCAGTGGGAATTTTTGCCAGCACTCCCCTTCTCCCCCTCAAGGCTGGAGACCAGAGTGTGAGGCTTTCTGGCGCACCACACCTGCTGTCTGGCAGGGAAAGCTTACCTGCGACCTTGGAGTTGTACGCCACTCCAACCCCACAGATATTGTTGTTGGCTGCGGCAGAAACCTCGCCTGCACATCGGGTCCCGTGGCTGTGGAGAAAAACAAAGGCAAGTGGGGACTTTCGGGAAGGCTCCTTAAATTCTGTGAACTGGAAGCAGTTTGGTTCTTTTCAATGGTCCGGTTAGCAGGAGTCAGCCCTATGAGGGAGCAGAAGGCAAGCTGAGGGCAAAGCGCAAGTTCACGGCCTCCCCCACCTCCCACCCCTGCACCCCAGGTGGGATCTGTGCGACGTTCGTCAGGCCTTCCAGGCTGCCGGAAAGCTAAGGCAAGGAAGAAAAACAACAACAAAAAAATGGTTACCTTAGAGAAGTCACAGTTTTGCAGGATGGGAGTCTCCTCAGCGTACCAACATCTTAGTGATTTACAAGGAAAAAGCATTCTTTTTTTTTTCTTTTTTAAAAAGATTTTTATTTATTTATTTGACAGAGAGACTGCGAGAGAGGGAACCCAAGCAGAGGGAGTGGTAGAGGAAGAAGCAGGCTTCCCGCTGAGCAGGTAGAGGAAGAAGCAGGCTTCCCACTGAGCCCAATGCGGGGCTCAATGAGAAGAGCTCAATTCCAGGATCTTGAGATCAGGACCTGAGCTGAAGGCAGTCGCCACCCAGGCGCCCCAAGGAAAAAAGCATTCTTGTCAATAGCCTAACTTCCAGAGACCCATAGATGCAATTTCCTAGAGCCCTAATGTCACCCTCCCCTCCCCTGCCTTTGTTGGAAACAAAGGCAGAAGGGAAAGTAAAATTAAATTTCTTAATGACCTGCAGCCCGCTGACAAGTACTTGAGGCAGGCAAAATAGAACATTCCTCCAGGAAACTTTCTACTGTCTTAAGGTTAAGGCTTTGCTAGAGGAAAAAAAAAACCCTTAGCTTGACAATGGCGAATCCTAAGTGTCCTAAAGGTCCTCTTTTGCATAGGAAAGTCCTTTTGAAAACCTCCCCTCGCCTTTACTTCCCCCAAATCCCAAGTTTAGAATCAGTCACCCCTCACACTTGTAGTGCACCTCTTTCTGCCGGCAGGTCCTGTCCCTGTGCAAAATCACAGTTTTGCACCCAAGATGTCTCAAGAATTCCTCCTTGGCCATTGGCTCTGGACCTCACTAACATTCCAAAGTGGTATCAAGCACATGGCCCACCCACTTTTCCATCTGTGTAGCTCCTTTCTTCCCCCACTTCCCTCCCCCCCAATCTTCACCTTGACTTGTCTCTACCATAAAGAGGCTTCTCTGAGCATTTCCAACCTTGAGATTTGATCTTTACTTTAAAATTTGAAGTATCTTCCAGCAGAAAATAACACTTACAGGTTTCCAGTGAAAACCAAGGATTCTGTGACAGTTTTGTGCTGGTCGGAACACTTCTGTTTTGTTTGAAGCACTAGAATTATAGGCTGATGTGGGAAACAAAGGCAGAAGGAAAATTATCAAATGTCCCTACTCCCTACAGTCCATTGACAAATCCTGGAAAGAAGAGTGACCTTCCTTTAGAGACTCCACTGCCTGGATCTTAATACTTTGCTAAAGATAAAAGGCAATCCTAGCCCAACCCTCAGGCTCCTGTAAGTCGACTTTAACATCTAAAAATTCCTTTGGAAACTTCCTTTATCTTTAACCCTCACCATCCAAGACATAGGTCGGCAATCATCCTCCAAGCATACGACCCGCCAAAATACATCTGAAGGGTCTCATGACTGAGTTTTTTCTAAACAGTAATAAATGACCTTGTCTTAACAATAGCTAGCCCACTCAGCATCCTGGGAGGCTTACACTCCCTAACCCCCTCCCAACTTGAAAGCATATAAAGGGCCATTTTTCATGACCCCCAGTGCAGCTCTTTCTCCCACTTATCCTGTCCCCATGCTTTAATAAAACCACCTTTTTGTACCAAAGACGTCTCAGAATTCTTTCTTGGCTGTCGGCTTTGAACACTAACGTCTTTCCTACATCATGGGCTACTAGTTATTTTCAAGGCTGGTTCTCTACACAGGTGTGTAATGCTGCCTGTCAGTTATAGAATCACGGTGACTTAGCTCTTTTGGAATATTGCCTTCTTTGAGGGCATATAGAATGTTGTAGTTTCCCGCCTTCCTCCAGGAATAAGAAAGCATACACTGCCAACGTTCTGCATGCAATTTCAAGAATTGAAAGAACATTTGAGGCTGACCAGATTAAGAACCCTGGACATTCATTCGAGAATCTTTCCAAGGTTTGCCTAGCCTTAGGATTCTGAGCAAGGTCTTTCCGTGGCTTATGTTCCAGAATGTTATCTGCAACAGACACCATCCATTTTCTCCCTTTTGTTTGCTCTCTCTTGACTTCTACCAAAGGGTTCTAAATAGTTCTAGTCCTACTGTGTGCATTTCCCCTCCCCTTGAATTGAGGGCTTGCTTTGACCCTTAGAATGCAGTGGAAGGACAACTGTATCTCTTCATAAGAGGGCAGTCAGCTTCTGCTTGCCTCTGCTGGACACGTAAGGGAGTTTGGGCTAGCCTATGAATGGACAAGGGCATGTGGGGAGAGAGAAACCCAGCAATTTCTGCTGTTCCAACATCTCTGATGAGGCTCCAGACACGTGAGGGGTGACACCGTCCTCCTCCAGACCTAGCTAGATCACCCCAATCAGTGGCAGGTGGAGAGAGACAGGCTGTCCCTGCCCAGCTTACAGGTCTGTGAACAGATACATGTTCGTTCTTTCTGAGGCCGCTATGTTTTGGGGTAGTTTGTGAAGTCCCACAAACCAAACATAAACTCTGAGTCCATCAGGATGCTGTGTCTTAACCCGAACCAGCGTTCAAAATGTGGGAGTTTCCACTGGTACAGGCATCTGAGATTACTGGCCCCAGTCCCCAAAAGTCTGGTCTGATGGTCAAGGAAGCAGCTAAAGGAGTAAATGGGTCACATGATCCGGGCTGCTGGAATAGCGCCTCCGCTGAAGGGACAGGATGGTGAGGGCTGGCTTCTCCACTCACTGTTCCAGCCATGGCGTACATAAGGAAAACGTGGCTGAAGGGAGCTTACTGGCTCTATGGCCCTGGGATTTCAGAGTTCTGCATGATCTGGTGTATTCTTTGCAATATCCTCTTGGGGCAAGCAAAGCTAACACACCAGCTCTTAAAAACATCGTACCCAAGGATGGGGAAGGGGAGAAAAAAAATATATATATTCTTATTTTCTTTCCCTTGATATGAGCAAAAATAGATGCTGCTTCCGCAAAGGGCTACACATCTTATGGGCTCCAAATTCCCTTTGGAGCAAGAATGCAATCTGTATATTGGGTCTAAGTAAACCTCGTAGTTCCTGCAGAGGACGGCCCTTGTGGTAAAAAAAAATCTGTGAAAACCACTGTGCTGTGCAAACTACTATGTACTGGTCTCTAAGTTTTCTATGGACCGTGTAGGAGATTTTTGAGATTTTTGAGAAGGGGCCCAGTTATGGTTTAACTTGATGGGAGAGGCTACTATGAACGTGGCTTTCGTGGCTATCATATTCCAAATGCTGTACGAAATGCTAAAGAAAGCTGCGAAAACCAGCATGGAAGCACACACACACACACACGTGTGTATGTGTACATGTATGTGTACACACATGTATGTTTGGATATGTATATATACTGAAATATATAAACTCTTTATGTTGATTCATAGATATACTGTACATATTTAAGTACATAATTATACTTAAAATATAAATGTACATATTTAAGTACATAATTATATACTTAAATATTTTTATGTAATATATACTCATGCATTTTATATAATCCATATATTATATGTTTAAATATATACTTACATAATGTACACACCACATATAAAGTACATGTTCCTTTATGTGTAGGTACATACATATTTTAAAATGGAAATGTAATGGATACTGATTAAATTTGGCTTGCTTTCTCGCTGTATGATTGATGCCGAACAAATAAATATTTAAATTAGAGCTTAGAGTCATTGCCATGTCTAATTTGGCCAAGCATTCATTTCCTTATTATTTAATTATCAGCCCTGTCAAGATTTCTTCTCTCAAACCTGTAAGGTCCAAGTAGGGACAGCCTGGAGAGTCAGGACCTTGGCCAGCATTCATGAAGCACACGGATACACTGATGGAGACCACACTGAGTAGAACCCTGTTCTAGGGGAAGAAGGACATAGGGAAATACCCACCTGCCACTTCCTGGGCTGCTGTTCACTACTAGGGAGCATGCTCAATGCCTTTCTTGCCTCACCCCCTTTCATCCTCTCAGGAAGGTTATGAGAAGGTACTGCCCCATTTTACAGATGTCAGAGTTGAGTTTCAGAGGTGCCAGCCCTAAGGAGCACAGCAACGAAGCAGCTGGGCCAGGTTGGAGACCAAGGCTCAGTTACTGAGCTGCCCTAATTCCCTCCCAGCTCTGCCATCAAACTGCCCACCAAGGTGAGAGGATGAATGCGTGTGAACTGGCATAGGCAGATTAAAGGCATTGAATGCTTCCATACTCTTAATTGTGGGCTTGAAGTACGAGGCAGATGTTAAGGACTCCTCAGAGGAACATGTGGGAAGGAACATTTTATTGCTAAATTAGGCAACACTAATTAATTATAAACAATGAGTGGAGGTTCCCTATCTTTGTTCACGACACCGTGTCTTTCCACAGCCCTGGGGGCCTTCATAGGCTCTATTCCCACTGCCTGGGATGCCTTCCCCTCTCTCCTGCCTTTATGACTATCTCAGACACATGTGCCTGCTCCCCTGCATGTCAGGAAAATCTTTTTGCAATTCCATTTTCATTTGGCCTCATGGCTTTCTTAAGAATGTTCAGTAACTCCCTCCTACCTCTAGAATAAACAAGAAGTCTGTCAGATGTGGAGCTCTAAGGGGAGAGGAACAAAGATCCACTGCTCAATCAGCCACCTTCTAACTAGGGTCAGTGGGAGGGAGGCAAGTGGCAGGAGTCACAGATGTGTTGCATTGCCAAAGAGACTCCCAACTCCCCATTCTGCTGGGGCCATGTCTTTGGCAATGTGATTTTCTTGCTCCTTTCATGAAGAGGAGAAGCCTATT